CTTAAATTTATTACAATGGAAAATTTGTATGTGTTGGTGATAAATGAACCTAAATACCTATTATTAGATCACATCTAGGGGTGATGTGCCGCATGAATTGATCAATGTATGGACCACTAGACTAAAATTTCCCGGCCCACTTCCAAAAGTTCGTCCAACCCTGCTTTCCAGGAAATCTGGGAAACATTGGAAAATGATATACTGACCAATCAAATACCCGATAGCATTGTGCACATACCAGGCTATATGATGTTCCGCAAAGATAGAGGAACGCAAGGAGGAGGTATTTGTATGTATGTCAAAAGCAACATTGCCGGGCACAATACACATGCTGTTATCAGTCAACAATTCTACACGTCAGGTACAGATGAATCACTATGGATCGAAATTAAGCTAAGAAAAATCAAACTTTTGGTTGCCTACATTCCAATCAGACCTCAAAAAATAAATACACAGAAACCCTTGCTGACCAGGGAAGTGTTCAGAGAGATCCAAAGAAAACGAGACTATTGACATACATATAAAAGTAACAAATCAGAGGCAAGCTACCAAAAATACCAGCAACAAGACCAAGGCATGCATAGTATTGCTAGAAAAACCTATGAACATAATTGGATAATATAGTAAACAATTCTACGCCTACATGAATCGTACCCTCAACACAAAATATCACAAATTTAGCCTAATTGATAAAATAACACAAGAACCACAAACATCAAATCAAAATATTGCAGAGTGTTTTGCAGAAGAGTTTGAGAAAGTTTTCACAGTGCTCAACTCGAATAGGTACGGTTCTGCCCACACTACCATATGCATCCCAACCAACACAAATATTTTTATTAGTGTTTTATATGCTGCAATATAGCAGTTTCGTAAAACATTTTACTCATATACAAATTCCTATAGTTATCTAATAGGCAGTTATAATACACTTAAAAACACGAAAACGGACCACTTTATAAAATATATCTGTCGTATTAAAATGCTTATAATGATCGTGAGTGACAGCTATACGACTACTTTACTACTGCTATAGACCTTTAATAAGAGTAGTTATAAAACACCTATATGATTGTGGAATTTCAAACACTATTTTGTATACATTTTATACTGTTATAAAAATATTTTGTCTTAAAGAAGTTACCAATAACAATTTGGCATTATATTTTTAACTGAAAATAAATCAGAATTGTTGCAAAAATACTATAGCTGGGACAGTTAAGCCCATTACAAATGGCGTACCTACCTTTACATCAGAAAATAATATTAGTATATCGTACACAATATGAAATACTGTTAAAAAACTTCAAACATGTTGATTTCACTTGCCAATTTAATTTTTCTGTCAATATATGGGTATATTTATTAACTAATTTTCACGCGCCTGCATTTTAGGGCAATTTACGATTTTTATTCGAGTGTTTATATTTTACAACTTGTAGATGCTAATTACAAATGACAACTACTCTTTAATAATTATATTTTTCTCGGTATTCTGAATGTTTTTCTTATACGATGTTTCAATTTTTTTCTTTTCTTATGAAATATTTAGTTTTATTTCCTAAACCAATTGTACATTTGTCACAAAAAACACAATAATAAGACAAATTGGTCACGAATAAATCAAATTGAATACAAATTTGCTTAATTCTGGTTCCTCTCAAACTCTCAAAAATACAAGGTTGTCAGATCTATGTCTCATATTACTACCCAGTCACTAATCGTTCTTGCATATTCAAAACCACATAAGCGGCGCAATACTCACATATTATAAAGGACATTAAAAAAAGTTAGTGATATTTAAAAACAGTTTTTCTGTAAAAGCACCCCGAATACTAAGACAATTTCATTCATCATAATAAAAATATTCCTATATGGATACCTACACCTACACCTTTTTGGCATACAATTGTATAGGAATAAACATGACGAGAGATAGACACTTTCCTAATCACCATACATAGAAAATTTTATATACCTACTAGTTACTACAAAAATAAATACAACGTGAATAGTCATTCGGGCATGTGTTTAGGCGTTTTATAGTTATTACTCTAAGGAAAATGTATGATAGTCTGGCAACATTGTAAACGATTTTACCAGGAACGGACGAATACTATAGACAGCGCCGCACAGGCGCTCACGCGCATGACAACCCGAGCATATTTAAGTCGTATAAGTGTTTTATAATAATGTCTTGTACCGTCGAAATCAAGTATTCTATAAACCATTTTTATAGGATGTTCTTTTAAACCAATTTAGACTTAAATAAGTTTACGACTTAATGTTTTTATTGAAGTTAGCTATATGATAATAATATAATAAATCTTCAATAAAAATATTTTGTAACTATCTTATACGTGCTTTTCAAAACTGTCATAAGATAACAATAAAACAAATTACACTTAAGAGTAATTGATCTTATTATTTGGCATTATAGTATGTTATAAGACCTAAGTTTCTTATATTTTATGAAAGACTACAAAATAATCTTATAGAAAGCTTTATTACACAATTAAAAAACTTTTTTGTCTTTGAGATACTTTTGTTTCAACTACAGTCACTATGTGATAAAATTGTGTATGGAGGCCCTTAATACACCAGTTATATAGCATTTTAACTATTGAGAAACAATCTGTGCTAGTTGGGATATGCTACAACCGAGTTAAAAAATATCGTGTTCACTCCGGAAAAAGTTGAAACTGCAGTAAAATCACTTAAACTATCATCAAGTCCAAGGCTCGACGAAATCCGTCTTGTCTTCCTCAAGAACTGTATCCAGGTGCTAAAAGGGCCAATATTTAGCTGACATGCTTAATAATATAACAAGAACAGGGGAATTCTCTGCAGCATGGAAAAAAGCAGTGGTGACGCCTATTTATAAAAAAGGAAATAAACAGCATGCAAATGTATGGAGAAAATAATCGCAAAAGAGTTCACCCAATTTTTTATAGACACACGAGTCATACCAGATCAGCAGCACGGCTTTCTTCCCGGGAAATCAACGATTACAAATCTCCTAACAAGACTCAACCACTGGACACTGTCAGATGACAACTACGAACCAATTGATGTGATTTATCTTGACTTCCAAAAAGCATTTGACAAAACAGTTCTTAATCCATAAAGTCGAACACGGGGCAATTACTCCAGTTGATCGAAGGATTCCTCACAGGAAGAACTTTTCACGAGCGTGTAGGTCCAACATTTTCAAAAGAGCACATAGTGCATAGTGAAATACGACAGGGATCAGTTCTCGGTCCTCTACTCTTTATTTCCTATTTAAGTGATCCATATCTAAGGCTGGAAATAAGAAATGGATCTTTTGCCGACGATAGAAACATTTATGGAAATCAGCTTTCGCAACATGGTGCTATTCAGAGAGATTTAAACAATATCAAAGAATGGACACAGCTATGGAAAATGCCCCTGAATGATTCCAAATGCACAGTTCTACATATTGGCCAGAACAACCCTAAATTAAATTACTTTTTTGAAAAGTTTCAAATAACACCTATCATACAACAGAGAGATCTAGGAATCACTGTAACCCAGGACTTGAAATGGGAAACTCACATCACGCAAATGACCAGAAAAGCCTATTCAATAATTTACCTCATACAAAAATCATTTAAATACCTCTTCAAAGATATGATACTAAAGCTACATAAATCATATGTCAGGCCAAGAGTGGAATATGCACAAACTATTTGGAATCCTTATTATGCTAAAAACATAGAGCAAATTGAGAGAGTACAACGAAGAATAACTAAGCTGCCTCCAGACCTTCATGAATTGCCCTATGAGGAACGATTAACCCAGCTAGACCTAACCACCCTAAAAGATAGAAGAATGAGGGGAGATCTCATTGAAACTTTTAAAATAATGGATGGGCACTATGCATGCGACTTAAGAGAGAGATCTATCACCTCAACCAAAACACCATTCTCAGAGGACATAATCTAAAACTTTCCAAGGAGAAATGTAACAAGCTAATGAGAAGAAACTTTCTAACAGGGTGGTTTATCTGTGGAACAGTCTTGGTAACAACACTGTCACGTCAACAACAAAGAACCAGTTCAAAAACCGTTTAGACCAAGAAATGAAGAATCAAAGCACAACGTTTTTTGTGCATTATACCGTATGAGGCAACTAAGTTTCAGGAGGACTATTAAGACCATAGAGGCTCTTTTGGCAAGAGCAATGCATGACTTCCCACAAATCTCTAATCTTTAAACAACTCAAATAGATTCAGCAGTTTCATCGGATTTATTCCGTCTACTGTAGATACCCATAATAATAATAATAATGTGAGCCAAAGACTCTCAGTGTCGTTTTTAGGAAATTTTCAATGTTCGATAAATTCAATTTTGGAGCTTCTCAGGTGCAAAACTGTTGGAACCAAATTGAAATCCTAATAAATAGCTTTGCAAAAAATTTATTCGGCTTTAATTGGAGCTTAATTACACTGGAATCGGATAAACATTTACAGAGCTGTGAAGCAAAAACCGTCTCCAGTGTTATTTTTGGAAAATTCTCATTCTTTTTCTTAGTTGCCATAAACTGTTGGAACTAAATTACATTAAAATCGGATTGAAATTAATGAAGCTGTGAGGCAAAATATGACTCAGTGATATATCAAAATTCATCGATTTTGATAAGATATAGTACCATCTTTCATCTTTGTACAAAACTAAGCTATTGATACAGACGCAGATTCTTGATATGGATCCTTGTAGTGGGTGGTGAGAAGTTACATACATCATGAGTAGATGGCGATAGTTCATTTATAATGATTTTACTTTGAATCTACTGGCACCAATCGATTTTTTTTTTAAAAGGGAGAAACATTTAATTTCAAAAACTTCTACCAAAGTCTGTCCCTGAAAAGTTGAAGCTTTTTCTTCTTGCTAAATTTTTCAAACATTGATAAAACACAAAAGATATCAAGTTGATATTCACTTCTAAAAAGTCATGCCATAAATAAAAAAAAAACTTACTAATAATATATTATTTATTCTAACAACTTTTCGTCCATCTGATCAGTTTTTACAATGTTACTCCAAATCCCTTTTCCAGTAAAATGATATTCCTTTTCGATCCGATACAAAACCAACTGCAACTGCTTGTGTTGACTCAAATTACCAAACTGCAAGTATTCATCTTCTCTTAGCTGATTCATTACCAAATGCACCTTGGAACTAAAAGAATTTTACAATAATAATTCAACATATAACTAAATATTTACTCTGGATATAATAAAATAAGTAAACTTCTAGCTATATTGTCTTTGGTGTATCCGGCCATTTTCAGGTATTGGAACGTCCTTTCGATATCCAGAAACGGCACGCAATTGTAATAGGGATGTTTTCTTAGTATTTTATAAACATCTTGCCGTGTTTTATCCAACAGTGTACTGAAAAATTTAACTGCACTGTGGGTTGAATTTATATCTTTGCCTTCTTGTATGTAATCCAAGAAAGAATCTGCATCTGGCAGATCTGAAACAATTTTATTACAATAATAATTATTATTGGAAAATAAAACTTCTTACTGATGTGACTAAGACTGGTACATCGTAATTTCAATTTTTTTAAAAAACTAAGCCTAGTTACAGCTTTCTCATAACCCAAAACCAAAGTCAACATTTGTGGGTCCTTTGAAAATACTTCAAATTCTGGAGTATTTTTAATTGCACCCAAACGTTTTTTCAACGTGATTGGGCTCAAAGTGAATACATTTGGTTTATTACGTATCATCTCGTCTGGCACTTCGTGTTCCTTTAAAATTGCATAAATTTCTTTGATTTTTCTAGGATTGATCATCATCAATTTGGGATTGTTTTTGTAAGCTTTGGCAAAATCTACACCAGCAAAATGAGGTGAGTCTTGAAGCATTGTTTTTGGGTATTCTGGATAATTGTTCAGCAAGTATCCGCATTTTAAGATTTTTGGTTTTTTCAAGCCTACAGATTTAGCTAATGCGATGTTTTCATTGATGACGGTGAAGCTTTTATTTTTAATCATTTTGTGGATTCTTAATAGCTTTGATAGATCCTCATTGGTTATTTTTAGTTTTGTTTCTGGAATTGATATTTTAATTGATTGAGTTTTTTCTTAAAAATTGATATGGTAAACAGTAAACATACTTAACCAGTCAATTAAAATAGTTTCGTGTATTTGTGTCAAAGACTTTTCATCAATGTCTTCCAATGCCTCATTTAATTTATTTGGCTTTTCTATAGAAGGTTTTAAACAACTTAATAAATTATCTACAATATTTTCATCTGGTTGCAAATATTTTTGCTCCTTGAATGTGGAAATCTTATTGCGCAAATAAAATTTAGATCTACAAAAACAAAAAATATAATATTTCTCCTGTAAAACTGGCTGAGTCCAATAATTAATTACCTACATAGTAAAGGTGCATCGATTTTCTTGATTCCAGCGTCTTTAAAAAGACAACTGTGATGATAATTTATTACGGGATGATAAAGGAAAAGTCGCGGATATTTGAGAAGATCTTCCTTGGTGAAACCCATTTTTTGACAAAGTTGATAGGATTCAATTAGCTCTGCAGTTTCTTTTTTGTGCAAGGTTTTGTATTTCATCAGTAGTCCGTTAACGTGTTGTTTTGTAAATTCTGAAAAATTGTAAAATTCACTGCACATTACTTAACGTGATATATTTAACTCAATATTTCACTAGTTTTCAATTAAGAATCTTTACTGATAGTTCAAAAACTCAATCATTTTCAGATCAGAATTCTTCCTTCATTGATGGTTTATAAATTCACTCATTTTCAGATCAGCCCCCGGATTCTATGTTACGAGTCGAGTCGAATTGTCTCGATATCGAATACGACAGCTCCGGACGTATTGTGTAAATGTATGGAAAAATCGGAAAATCGAATCGCTATTTTGACAATACGATAAGAATTTCGACTCGACTCGTAAAATAGAATCTGGCCTCAGGTTTTTTCTAAAACAATTATCAATGAGTGAATCACTGACGAACCCCAATTTACTCATGAATTTTACCCATTAGCTCAACTCATTTTCAATTCACAATTTACTAAATAATACTCATTATTTCAAAAACTCTCTAATTTCCAGATCAGATTTTTTACTTACTGATTAGTTTAAAAACTCATTTTCAGATCAAATTTTTTTTTTGAACAATTTATTTGTGTCTTATGACAAAAATCGAAATAATTTTTTTCTCGGAAACCGTTGGAGATAAACCTATTGAAATCAGCAAAAGCAGAGCTTTTCAATGAGCTATTAATATATAGGATGTCCTATTGAAAAAAATCGGATTTTGGTCAATATCTCGGAATCGGAGCTAAATAGAAAAAAGCTGAGAACGTCACTGAATTCCACTTAAAAAAGTGCTTCCAGAAAGTCTTTACAGAAATGAATTATTTTCATAAATAAAAAAGTTATGAAGGTTTCACAGTATTGCTCAAAATCGAGAATCGCCCTCTAGCGGCTAAACGGTTGAAGATATCAAAATGCGGTTCGCACCAATCCGAATTTCATGAAATTTGAGCCTCAGAGTGGGGGGTTAATTTTTTTCTATCTCTAAAAATAAAGGGTGTTTCCATAAGAAAGTGTACAAATTGGCCCACCCTGTACAGTTTTGACTAAATTTTTAGAAACCATGGTCAGAAATAAAAATTGGATGTCAGAAATGTGAAATTTTGGTTGGTTCCATATTCTTGAAGAGCACAATGTCCTGATTCCAAAAATATATAGTTTGTCTACAGGGTGTCCGTTTTAAGTGATACCACTATTGCTATCTCCGAAACGGTAAAAGCTACGAGGTCGATTGAATTAGAAAAAGTGACAGATTTTAGTGTCCAATAAAGATAATTTCACAGGGTTGCCACATTTTTGTTCTTTTCCGAGATATGAGGGAAAATGTAAAAAATGCCTAAAATCTGTTTTTTTTTTTAAAGATAATTCCCCGTCAAAAATTTAGTAACTATGCTGGCAGCACAAGCCTTTTCTACATAAAAATTTGAAAGCATTGACAATTTTACATTGTATTGCCAACATAATGTCATTTTGACTTTTATCTTTAAAAAAAAAACAGACTTTAAAACTTATTCAATGAATATTTCAAAAATCATCATCTTTAGGAAAAAGTGTTCAATACCAAACTTTCAAGGTTTCTTCTTCTCTACAAAATGGCGTAATTATTATCTTCACATGGCTTTCAGTTTTTGAGATATCAGTACCAACTTCATTCTTTTAAATACGGATTTATTTTTTTAAAGAATTTTTCTTCCATTTTAAAATTACCCATATCTCAGGCGTGTTTCCCGACGTTTCGGTATGGAAATAGTCATCATCAATACTTTTACCTTATTACAGACCTGATGTATTTTAAGCCAAGCTAAAATACGGCATTTCCTGCAGCATTAGGTATATCTCTTTATTCTTTGTCTGAAATTTAATTTAAATAGCCAACATAAAAAGATGTAGAAAGTTATTCAACTACACACATTTTTAATTTAACTTGAAGACATTAATTAGGTACTAACCGAATAAGATACATATTTAAATTTGAAAAAATACAACTCTTAACACTATTGTGAGTGTTGAAAATGTTCAACATTGTTTCTCAAGCACATCAGCCTTGCATTTTCAATCACTCTTATTGGGATGTTTTGCTGCATTCTGGAAGAAACTTTGCTAAAGTCTACTGTAGGTATACTTCAATTCTCGCTTGAATTCTACGTATGAGATCATCTACATTCAAGGAACTAGTTTTGTATAGATACTTGTCTTGGTCTTTTATGTAACCCCAAATATGTAAAAATTCAATAAGAAGAGGTCGGGTGAACGAAGCGGCCAGTTTATGGGACCGTTATTACCAATCCAACAGTTGGGTACAAAATTATCGAGAAATCTTGTATCATTGCGATCAAAAAACAGTAGCACAAAAATTAACCCCGATTCGAACTCCCGGTCTAAGACTGAAGACACAATGACAAATACAAGTAACAAGAGACAAAAATATAATAACACGTTTATCAATGCTATAACACAGAATAAATGGATACAAGATACAATTTACTTGCAACGCCAAGATATAAAATTTCGATTTTTTGGTATTTTGTGTCTGTTACTTGTACCTTCTATTTGTCATTGTGTCTCCAGCCTAACAAACAAAATTTTGACAGTAAATGAACATTTCAAAATATGCTGGGTTCAGACAATGACACATTCTAGGTTGAAAAAGGGTGGAAAAATGCCAAAATAATGTCATCCGAAGCCAGTCTCTATCTCACAGTCTATTATGAAAATCAACAAGTTCATACAGAAACAGCTTTCCAGGAGAGATTTGGTCGATATCAATGTTTGGCTTGGAATCTTCGACTTCAAAGTAGTGGGTCTCTTCTTTTTTGAAGGAACCTTATGGCCGCGGTAATGGCCGCCATTATTTTATTTGTTGTCCAAAACAAAATCTGTCTGTCGGTGAAACACTTAGTGAAAGAGAAAGACAAATATACAATTATGATGCTCCCAATGTAGCTTTTTTGCCGTGGTACCATACCGAAACATCAGGAAACACGCCTGAGCTATAAGTCATTTAATAGGGCAAGAAAAATTCTTTTAGAAAATAAAATAAAAAATTCAGGCCTGCATTTGAAAAAAATGAAGTTGGCACTGATATCTCAAAAACTGAAAGCCTTGTGAAGATAACAATTACGCCATTTTGTAGAGAAGAAGAAATCTTGAAACTTTTGTATTCAACACCTTTTTCTAAAGATGATAATTTTTGAAATATTTATTGAATAGGTTTTAGACATTTTTTACATTTTCTCTCATATCGTGGAAACAAAAATTTGGCAACCCTGTGAACTTACCTTTAATGGACACTGAAATCTGCCACTTTTATCTAATTTAACCGACCTCATAGCTCTTACGGTTTCGGAGATAGCAATAGTAGTATTACTTAAAACGGACACCCTGTATATCTGATTGAGCAGTCTCTCATATATTCGACTCCAAAAATTGTAGAAATATGATCCTACTACTGATTTTGTGAACCATTCTACCTGTATTATGTATGTACATACAGGGTGTCAATTTGAAAACTTCCCACCCCTATTATCTCGGAGTAGAAAAATTTTCAAAAAAATCCCTGAAACACGTCAACTATAATTTGAAGGGGGTGAGTTTTTATGCAAAATTCACCCCCCAACCCCCAGAGCCACCACCTAGAAAATCTTAAATGAGAAGGGGGGTCGAGTGATACCTACATCATTTTGCAGGGTTTTTAATTCAATACATTTTGGTACTAAATTTCAGTACCTGAGTTCAACTATTTTGGAAATATTGACACTTGAAAATTGACTTTTTTGCAACTTTAACAGGCTGTAAAACCTAAACGGTTAATTTTAGAGAAAAACCGATCTTACATTCTTAGATTTTCATAAACTATCATTTGACACCAGCATTGAATTTAACCGGAGATTAAATTTTTAACCGGAATTTTTGATCACGGATGACTGGTTTGCCATTTTTGCAGAAACAGGCAGAAACAGACCTAATAGGTCTGTCTCTGCAGAAATCACAAACCAGTCAGAGCGCATTTCATTGGTTGAAAACAGTCAGAAACAGTCAGGAAACTAGTTTCAACCAATGAAATTCACTCTGACTGGTTTGTGATTTCTACAGAAACAGACCTAATAAAAATTGAATTTTCATTTATCAAGCGCCACCTGTGATAAAAACTAGAAGCTAGTTGTGCGGGTCCGCCATTTTAGACACAGCTCTCTGTAAAGAGGTCCCAGTTTGCCACTCGATTTTCCAGGAAAAAACCCGATTTTAGTGCGTGAATACTGTTTAAATGGTTAAAATGAAAATTTAGCTTCAATTTCGTATACTTAGTAGCTGGGTAAATGCTCTAGTTTGTTAGAAATTTGAATTTAAAAATTTTCCATTTTCTTGACATCATGGAGGCATCCGCCATGTACGAAACAAGAGGTTTCTGTGATAAAACATCTCGATTTTTCAGGAATAAAAACGTTCCTAGTGTGTGAAAAGTGTTGAAATAGTGAAAGTGAAAGTTTAGCTTCAATTTGATCCTGAATAATTACAGGATAAGTGGTTTGATTATTTTTAAATTTGTATTTGAAATTTCCGTTTTCTTGACATCACGTCGGCGTTTGTAGGCCTCCTTTTTATAAACCAACTAGTGAAGAATATTTTTTTCAAATAAAAATGTACCAATAGAAAATTGCTTGAAACTTCAATTAAATATTCTATAAAATTTTAAAAATTTCAATTTTCCTGTATACAAAAACTTCCTTTTATCCTTTTTAAGTCCTGGTTTATTCATCTACAGATAAAGTTAATGGTAATTATCTTCAAGATAAATTCACCAATTTATAATCCTATTGGTTGGAAAATAACTGGTTGACCAATAGGATTATATGTTGCATATTTACCTCTCAGATTGCATTACTTAAAACTGGATTGGGTCCAGAATGTTTTAAACTAAACAGAAAAGCCTGATGCCTAAATCTAGGCTAATCAAGTAGAAGGATACAAGTAAGGGCATGTGAAAATATCATAAGAAATCAAAAATTACTTACTAAACAGTTCCAACAAAACTTTTGCATTTGCCTCGGTGTATGTTTCCACCAACTTGTGTTTTCTGGCAACTCTAGTTAAACTCGCGTTGAAATAACAAAATTTAAATGATATATAAAACATTTTGTAGTAGAAAATCGGTGCTATAGGAATAAAATATAAATGTATAATAATTTGAATGGTATATGAAAACCAATGAAAACAAACAACAACAAATTCGAACAAAATATAACCTCACATTTTTCAAATTCAAGTGAGGTTTTTTGTCTTTTTTTATTCAAGTTGACTAAAGAAGGATAGAACCAAGTCTTGTTTTGGAGCGAAAATATTTTGCTGGCGTCTGTTTCTTGTATAAAAGCTCATTGTAGAAATCTGTAATCTGAAAAAAAAAAATTCTTGAAAGAAGGAAAATAGGCAATTTTAAACAAAGGTGGCAGTAGGGATATTTACAAATTGAATATTTAAAATAGTAAAGAAATAATCCTTATGAGCAAGGTTTTTTGAAAGAGGTAGGTTAAATCTTCAATCAACGGTTAAATTTAGGAACCTTTGGTTGCTTGATAAGTTTTATGACGTTATCTGGGGTGTCTAAACGTAATGCAAATCTTCGTTAGGTCCTCCTGATGACGTCATCTGTTTACCATTACCAGACCAAGGTTGCTGAACTTCATAGGTTGTCTGTTAATGTGGTAATGGGTCACTTGATGACGCATCTGGGGTGCCTTCTCAAGTAGCAACTACACGTTAGAAAACGTTTATGAAACGTTGGTTTCAGGTCCTGAACGTGTACTAACGTTCTCGACTCTAGGATAACGTTACATGACGTAACGTTGTGCCAACGTCATTAAGTTTAACGTTTTATAAACGTTGTTATTGAGACGTTAGTATATGTAACGTCGAATTAACGTTTTTTTCTAGACGTTGTTGGTATCAGAACAGTGTTTATTTTGAATCAGGAAAATATAAAAAAAAAAACATTAATATCTTATAGGTTTAATTTCCAAGTGTCGTATCCTGCACTAATTATATTTAGCGTTGTTTCCTAACAAAAAATATTAAGCCTATTTTGAAATTCCCGCGCCCGTAGAGGCGTAATCGAATTTTCGCGGCACACCTACAGTGTTGCCACTTTATTATAATTGTAACAGCTGTTACTTTTTGAAAATGTTTATTTCCTTATTAGAATTTAATAATATTTAATTTTATAATTTTTGATAACCAGCATTTTTTCTCTCTTAGTTCATGCTTCATATATATTATGTAATTAAATTTGTCAGGAAAAAAATATCACCCTTTGTTACCACGGATTATCTTTCACGAATTTTATCTGGCAACACTGTACAACAACGTTCCCTTCGTTTTCGTTTGTGGCGTCAGGTGGCGTCGTACTTCCACTTCATACTCGGCTCGTCGTTTGCTATGGTCGTTTGGTTTTTGGTTTCGTTGTGGTGTCTTGTAGTCTTGTGTTTGTGTGGTGTGCTGTCTTTAATGCCCCTTGCTTTACGTTGATAATCAGAAAAGTCAGATAGTTTACCTGATAACTTATAAGAAGTCCAATAAACCGGGCCTTAGAGAATGTTTTATTGTGTAAATAAATTTTCGCTATAGGTAGAGCAAATATATTATTAGGTATTGCCAAAGACAATACTACTACGGTTTAAAATTTAAAAAATTCATTATGTTATTTTTACATTTTTTAAAATAAAAAATAAATGTTTTTTAGTCTTCATGTTTTTATTTCTCTAGATTTCCCTCATCTTACCTACAATCAACGTTAGTTTTACCTAAATTTACAACGTCATCTAACATTAAAATAACGTTCGTAAATGTCAATTAACGTTTTAAAACAAAGTTTAAAACAACGTTTAATGAACGTTTATTATTAACGTTACTTCAACGATGACATTGTTACGCTAAGAGAACGTTTTGGTAACGTGATTTATAACGTAACTTGACGTAAAAAATAACGTTAAACAAACGTCATTTTGCTACCTGGGTTATGGAGATTTTGCATTATGTTGAGGCACCCCAGATAACGTCATAAAGTTAAACAACAACCCTCAACAATTTTTTTTATTCCCGGCTCTTGAGTTTGTCGAAATAAAGAAAACTTCAAAAGCCTCTGGAATAGAAAAAAACATCTCCAATTAACTTGATTTCAAAAACTATCAGAAACTGGTTACTTTAGAGAAAGTTTATATTTTATTCCTGGATTGTTGAGGTTTTAGCTAAGACATACTGAAATTTCATGACGATTATTAGGCTCAAAATAGCTTAGCTGCGATTTTGTCAACGTTTGTGATTACCCAAAAATCTCCAATTAATTTGGTTTTGAAAACTATAAAAAAAAACTGTTCATTTTATAGAAAGTTTATACTTTTTTCCTTGACTGTTGAGGTTTTAGCTGAAACATACTCAAATTTCCACTTCCATAAGTCCACTCATCTCAATTTTTGTTTATTTTCTCTTGAATTTATCGAAAAAAAAAAAAAAATCAAGAGCCTGGCATAGAAAAAATATGAATGTCCTGATCATCGATCTGACGAATTCGTATCGATAAGTCCATCTTCTAGTGAAATACAGATTACTGAAACTATAAGGTCAGATTCTTATAATGTCTTGCAAAACAGACAAATTAACTCAATACACAATTTATTATAAATTTATGTACAAATTCAAATCATAATTATTTAAGTATTATTCTTCAAAAATTTTTGTGGAATCGCGCAGCTTTAGCTGAGCCTCTTGTCTAAATTTCACATTCAACTCCCACAGTATTGCTTCTATCTTTTTCCGCCAAATTTCCGGAGTTTCCTTGTACAAAGCCTCAAATTTGTACACCACATAATGGCCGTGCTGTTTTGAACGCGCCACATGATGAAACTTCAAAACTTTCTTCTTTTTTCCTTCAGGCAACGGTATTATTTCGTTGGTTTTCAAATGACCCTGGTAATAAAACGTATCTTTTTGGTTTTCCTGAAATAGTGCCTATTTAGAGAAACTCTTATGCTTATAGTCAATATGTTACTTACTTTGGTCAAAAAAATAATGTTTTTGAACAAAAACACAGTCAACATCATCTTAAATGGCTTAGTTATCTTGAAATGGTCTTTTAACAAGTAATCTCCATATCCTCGGACATCGACAGGGCAACTGTGAACTAAGAATGCTGAAGAAACTAAAATAATCACCAATTTTGAAAGGAATTATTATAGTCAAAGAGTAAAGAAAACATTAGTTTTTTTTTTTAATCTCATAATAAGTTGTTTCCTTTTCTCTCTGATAATAATGGGCTCTTTCACTAAAATTTAAATATGTAATTTAAGTATAAAAATCCCAAAGGAGGGACTATTTTAGGCATATATACCAAAAAAAAAAATGTGCTACAAGGTTAAATAAGTTTTTTACAGGCACTTGAAACTAGCCAAATTCAAAATGATTTAAAACGCGCCGATTGATGACGTCACCTAAATATTTTTCCAAAAGTAAAAATATAGAAAATTCTGATTTTAGTTGCTTTATCCAAATATGCCAATTTCAAAAATTAGTGAATGAGCCCATTATTATTGCCTTCTCTCGAATCAAATAAACTCCCATATTTGTCCGTCCTCCAAGGATTATTAGTAATTTTCTCCAAAACCAACTTTTTATTGCACGAAAGCAAAATTTCCTTTACAACATCCAAAGGTTGTGAAACTGCTCGCAACAATTCCGGATCCTCCACAAGTTCCTGTCGAATTTCTTCTAAAAACATTTTGTAATGGACAAGTCTCTGATTTAGAATTGCACCCAAAAGGATTTCGGTTTTGAATTGATTCTTTGCGTCTTCGATTGTTAGGACTATTTCACTGCAATCTTCCATGAAAAATTGTTTGTAGGATTCAAAAAGGATTTCCTAATTAATAAATTAATTAATTCTAAATAAAGTTTAATATATGTAATTATTATTACATAATTAATGAAACCTTTTAAAGTCATTTCTAATGAATCAACTTTGTCCAAATTTGCTTCAAATTCGCTTTGTGTTTTTAATAGTGTTTCGGTTGTAGAGCATATTTTTTCGGCATTATTTTTAATTATTAAAGCTGTATGATGTTTGATTGCATATTTAAATACCTACAATAATTATTTTATGTAAGTAGATAATCAGAAATAATTGTAATAAATAATGTGCTTACAGGTATAACATCTTTTAGTTCTTGTAAATGTTTTTTCTCTGTAGACTTAAGATGATCTATAATATTAGTTACTCGCAGACTAAAAATGGAATAAATAATAATGAAATAATTTATAAATTTAGCTTTTCATGCCTTATTTCTGCTTTATCAAGTATTTTTGTTGGTCCTGTAATATAATAAGGCGATTCATATTCACTTCGTGTACTATAAAATCCTGGAGAATAATCATTAGAAGTTGAAGCTGATAGGGTTCCATAATCTTCAATTGAACATTTTGATTTTGCAACCCTTGGTGGTAGTTTAGGAGGTTTCTCCTTGGATTCATCACAAAAATCATCTTCGCTTATGGACACCTCTTCATAAATACTAAACTCGTCTGAATCTGAGTCTAAAAGCATTGTTGATTGGGAAAAAAAAAAAATTCTTAAGGGTCTTACCAAATTTGGAGCTCCCATTTTCAACTTCATCTATATTATAATTTAATTTTTGCATGAAACCATTCGTTTCTATTTTATTGATGTGCAAGTCCATAAGATCAACTAAATTTTTCCTCAATGTTTCGATGTTATTTTTTGAAAATTCTTCAGACAATATCGCGGCTTCGGTCAAGCTTTTCGATCTTGGTAATGGCATCGGTTTTTTTTTCTCATCACTGATTAGCGTTTTCATTGTTCGCTGATTAGCGAAATTACCAGATTCGTTGCCATACATATTTTCACTGTTATTTTCTGGAAGAAATTGTAGCAAATTTTCGGGATAAAATTTGCTATTGCCCACATTTTTTTGCACCTTTTTTGAAAACATGACTTTAAAATAGTAATTTCAATTATTTGGTGAATATATTGTGCATTATATTTTAATCTTATCACTATTTAATAAATAGATAAATTTCAAAAAAAAAAAAAATGCAGATTAATTAATACATAATAATTATCTATAACATGATAATGAATTAATAATTTATACAATTTTTTTTTTAATCAATGCCTTGATCAAAGCTAAAAGTTCTGTCATAAAAATTTGCATAGGTCCCCTTAATGTTTTTTGGAATACTAATCGAAATTATTCCTACTCGGTTTCTCACTTTTTTTTTTTTGAAAGGAAATTAATAACATCGGCACGTCCTGTAATCTCATTCATTATACCCTAAAAATTAAAATGCGGTCTTGAAAATGTAAAAATTTAATAGCTTTCTTTGCGGAATTTTTAATAATCAAGTCACAGTGGATATTATTGGAAATAGGAATCTTGGAAAAAAAGTAATGGAAACACTTAAAATCCAAATATCTGGAAATGTATAAGAAGTAGGTAAAATAAGTCTTGTATCCTCATACTAAAATTATGAAATTTCAAATTTTTTCATGTTGAGATTTTGTATCTAAATGATTATTGGGGTTATGACCTTCCAAAGTTTTCCAAAATCAAAATCTAAATCATAAGCAGTTAGCTACCTCAGTACTAAAACGGATAAAATTTCAATTTTTTTTGTTGTTGAGATTTTGTATCTTAATGGTCTGTTGGGACCCCCCAAACTCCATACACTAAATAATTTTATTTCTGGAACTAGGTCCAAATGAGCTGAAATTTTCAGGGATTGTTAGTTATCTACTGGGATATAAGAATCGCTGGAAATTTCAGCTTTCTATCTACAATAGAAAAAAAAATTATGACCATTCAAAATTTTCCAAAATCTGAATCATACCTCAGTAGGTACTAAAACGATAAAATTTCAAATTTTTTGTTGTTGAGATTTAATTGTGTCCAAGTGGTCCTTTAGGACCCCCCAAACTCCATACAATAAATAATTTTATATTTGGAACTATAAGTCCAAATGAACTTAAATTTTCAGGGATTGTAGTCCTCTACTGGGATGAGAAACGCTGAAAATTTTAGCTTCCTAATCTAGAATAGAAAAAAAGTAATGACCTTTTAAAGTTTTCCAAAATCTAAATCATAAAGGTAGCTATCTCACGAGGTATCAACACCTGATTGGAAATTTGTACACCTACTGTAACCTGGCCGTTCTAGTTGAGTATTGTTAGAGTATTGTCGAGTATTGCCACTTCGTCAAAGGTATTGTAGGGATTGTCAAGTATCGTTAACATATTGTAAATATTTAACTGGTACTGTCGGGTACTGTGGATGAAACAGAAATACTTGGCCTGTATTGTAAAGCAATTTGTAGTACTGTAATTAATTACTGTGGAAGTACTCTCAGTACTGTTTATGTATTTTTCTACTGACGTTTTATAATACGCTTATTAAACAATTAAAATCTGTTTCATAATGAACTTCATTATGATACAGATTTTTCAGCCACTGGAATCGAGTTATTGTGAACATGAATAATGTTTATATAAAAATAACAGACTTGTTTTGGAATTTTGGATTGTTTTCTGGAACTATAACTGGAACACTCGCATGTTATATACGAAACTCGCCTACGGCTCGTTTCGTATCCTATAACATGCTCGTTTAATAATGGCTATCATTACATGATCATTGCATAATATACCTACTATTTCAGAGCCAATGTTAGTACTGCGAATATATTAATCTTTGTTGTTGTTTAATGGTAATTATGTGCAAAAATCGAAAAATCACTGCTAATGATTTACTTTTATTAACAGCTCTTGTTTATTAGGTACATATTTATTTTTTAAACTTCATGGACTATGGACTTAATAATTATGCCCAGAGTCCTAAAATTGAAATATCAAACTAATAAAATGTCTGCCAAAAATGCCCCAAATACCTTCATAACAACAAAAATTACAACATTTAAAAACAAGTTCAGTTTTTTATCGAAACCACAATCAAGTATTAACATATCATGCGAAAAAATATGTCTCAAAAAATTTCCAACAACAAAATAGAATTCTATGTATGTACAGGGTGTCCTATTTTGGTTGTAGGTACAGTCTTGAGCATAAAAAGTGGGATACCCGACTGACAGGTCTTGTCATTTTTCGCAATTTTGGGTAAATCAGTATTTTCTCTAGAATTGATTTTTTGTCAAATATGACAATCCTTGTCATTGCCGTAGGTATAGCTGATGAGCTCGTTTTACAATAGGAAAAAACGGGTGTCCCACTTTTTGTGCTCACGACTGTATGGGTCATTTTATTTAGATTTTCCCACCCCCCTTAACTTTTTTGTGCCACTGTGTATAAAAAAAATTTAAATAGGAAAGTTGTAGTGCTTGAAAAATAGTTCTAAGAAAACATAGTTTTGTTCATACAGGGTGTTGCAAAAAGTTTAAAAAACAAAATTTTTTTTTTTTTGAAATGGGACACCCTGTATATTATGACATTTCTGGATTCTGCTGCTTCCGGTATAACAGGAGATGCCACCATCTTGAAAATATACGTACATACATAAGTTAAACACGTGAAATCTTTCAAAATTTCCATCTTTTTGCTCTTGGACGGAGATATTTTCCGAAGTCAGCTACAGGAACTTTTTTTTGAAAACTGAATAAGTAACTGTTGCTCGAACTGACTTCGATATGACACTTCACTTGTTTTATTGCGAATTTGCCAATGAATCTTAATGGAATGAATTCACCTCTCTGCCACGTGGCTTGTCAAGTGGTGCAACGCTTTCCAGAGCTCGTAATCCGATTCACATTCACATATATTATTTTAGTATTGTCAAGGGATTGTCAGTATTGTCGGCTGGTATTGTGAGTACTATAAAGGTACTGTTGAGTATTTTTGACGGATTTTTAGTATTGTTTTACTATTTTCAGTACTGTAAAGCTATTTTGAAAGTACCTACTGCAGGTCATTTCAGGTATTGCGACAATTGCTATGAAATTACCTACCTCGGAAATTACATGGTATTTTTCTTTTTTTTTGTTTTGGCGGTATTGTTTAGATATTGTAGGTACTGTGAACTGATTTGTACACCTACTGTCAGCAGGTGTCGAGCTCTCGCTATCTCAGTACCTACTAAAACGATGAAATTTCATTTTTTTTGTTGTTGTTGAGATTTTGTGTTTTAATGGTCCTTTGGATCCCTCAAATTCCATACATTAATTTATTCCGAGATATGAAGCCGAAATCTGGCAGAAAAGCACTTAGAAAATTGAAAAATTCATAAATTACCCTAAATCTTTTAAAATCATCGAGGGTTTTTTCACCTTGTTAATCGGTGTACAAATCACTGGTTAACATATGTCAATACCGGAGTCAATACTATGTCAATAGTGTCAATACCTAGAATTCTGGCGAGATAAATATTTGATTTTAGCTCGGATTTGAGTCTGTCAATAACACGGCAATACCTGGTAATATATTATGTTAATACTAGGGAAATACCTGGCAATATGTGGAAATATTTTTTATTGCATGGAAGAAGTTAGCAATAACTTGTATTACCTACATAGAAATCATTGATATTCTTAAAAAAAAAAATCTTTTAAAATTTCCAAAAATCTTTTGGAATCCCCAAAAATCCGTTAAAGTTTCTAAAAATCTTTTAATTTCTCTAAAAACCCTTCTTAATCCCCTACAATGCTCCAAAATCACCTGAAATCTAATAAATATAAAATCTTTTATGTCCGATTGACCAATAAAGTGCTATTTATAGAACAGTTTTGCGTCAATAAAGTAGCACTTTATTGTACTAGTAAAATAAAGTGCTACTTTATTTTACTAGTAAAATAAAGTGCTACTTTATTGCCTACCTGGACTACCTGATAAGGTGAAACAGGTCCTGACAACCTGCCAAAGTGAAACAGGTCTTGACAACCTGCCAAGGTGAAACAGGTATAGGTACCTACGCGAATTTTACTTTTTTCATTCAATTTTTTTAATTTTTAACAAAAACCAGTCAGAATCGTACATAAAATCATGTATATAACGCTTACATAAACAGGCTTTATTGACTCATTATTTAATAGCCTCGCTCGCAAGCTTGCTCGGCCATAAAATTATTCGTACAATAAAGCCTTACTTTATGTACTTGTTATATAAATAGCTATTAAAACCCTGTAAAATAATGTAAAGATTTTCAAAATCCTCAAAATTCTACAAAATCAATGAAGATTTAAAATCTGTGTACATTATTTTAAAGAGTTAACCACGCCTCGACTAAAAGGATGAAATTTCATTTTTTTTTTTTTGAGATTTTGTGACCCCAAATTGCTTAAAACGATTTTATTTTTGGAACTTTAAGTCCAAATGAGCTGAAATTTTCAGAGATTGTAGTCCTCTACTGGGATAAGAATTATTGCTGAAAATTTCACCTTTCTATCTCTAATACATATAAACATTGGGGTAAACTTGTCAACAATTCAATTTTTCTGAGTGCTTTTTTTCATAGAATCTGGCTCCGAAACTCAGAATAATTTAGTGTATGGCGTTTGGGGGGTCCCGAATGATCATTTAGATATAAAATCTTAGCATAAAATTTTTTTATCATATTTTAGTACTAAGGTACCTTATGATTAAGATTTTTGTAAACTTTAAAAAATCATAATTTTTTTTGTATTACAGATGGAAAGCTGTCTTCCTGACGTCCTTATTTCAAAGATTTCGGCTTTAAATTGTACAATAATACAATAAACGAGGGGTAAACCGCAGAGGCATTTTGGTGTACAATCTTCGGGAATTAGTAAGAAATTAGCAGGAAATTAGAGGAATTATTGGGGAATTAAAGAAATTACTGGGGGATTAGTCGGGAAATTCAGGGAATTAGTCAATTATGGAATTAATGGGGAATTGTAGAAAGCACATTAGTCAACATAGAAGTGCTAGGGATCCAGTGTATCCAATGAAACATAGATGGATTTCATCA